GAATAAATCTAGGGCTATGCAAAAAACAAAGCAAAGCACTACTGTATATCTGACAGAGGAGCTTCCCATTGATTCACTGCTTTAAAGCCAGTGATACACTCACAGGATTCAGTCAAGCAATGGGATGTCCATCACTCAAAGTCAGAAGAGATGCAGTGTGTGGACATTGCAAGAAGTTACCTTCTTTATTTGGTTCTAATATAATTATTTTCTCTTTAATTATTTAGTTAATGTGCAGATGGCTGCTCGCTCAGCTCACCTCTCTTTGCTTTCACACCAGGTATGGTCTTAGGTTAAACCTGACTCCTGTAACTGACAGTTTTTGGCAGCAGCACAGCACAAAACCTTATTGAGCCACAAAATCTTATTGGGTTGCCTGTGGCCCCTGCCAGTGATGGGCAGCAATCCCCTGACATGCACCGCTCACCTGTAGACAGACTTTATGCATCTCCTTTGCCCTGTGACCTGCAGCCACCCTGCCCTCTGCCCCAATGTAGGTAGGAGTATGCTGATGAGACAGACATGATGCTGACCAGTAATAATACTGTGAATATCAAGAAGTTGCCTTAACACCACTTCTCAGCAACGTGATGATAATAACAGTAGATTACCAGATTTTTTGTCTGATTAGACCATCCTATTCCAGAAGGTGGGAAAAGTCAGGATGGAAGTAATTCAGAAAAAACAGATAAGGACGCTGCCACCATTCTTGAAAAGCAGTGGATCAAAATCTCAGCTTTAATATTCCTGTATCTAATTGCTAATGAGCACCTTCACCAGAGTTGGAGGGTTAAGAGACTCAAAAAAGACTTGAGTGCTTTAGAAAGCCTCTCTCGTACAATGCGTGGCAGCTTAGCCATAGTCTAAAGACACACGCTGTCTCAAGGTATGGGCGAGCCTTTGTGAAAGACACACAAAGAAACCAGGTCTTCCTAATTCAAGGAATTGCAAAGTCCTCAATAAAGTCTAGTGTAGTGTATAGCTATACATTAATATATAGATACATTTTCTCTAAAGGGCTCTTGTGCTTACTCAATAACATGTTGATTGAGGAAGTCTGTGTGGTCTCTTATGGCCACCATTATGACTCCTTGGTGAAAAAGAAGTGCAAGGACTGACACTGAAGCACCCGCCTCAGTACCAGTGGGACAGTCCTGCAGTCTCTGGCAGACATGTGGCTCTGCTGTGCATCACCCATCAGTGCTGGCCCTCCTAACAGGCCATGCCTTTATCACTGCCCCTGAGAGAACCTCGAAGTTCAGATCCAGATCCTGTCTGATTCCTTGCTTCACAGTCACAGCCCAGATATGCCCCACTCCTCTCACCCTGGTAGCCACTGAAAACTAAATCCAGGTCCTCCTGCTCCCTGCTCTAACCTCAGAACCAGGAGTCCAGTGCTTCCCAGCAGGTCCAGCACAGCCAGAGAGACAGACAGAAGGCAAAGTCCATCTTTTCCCTTTGCCTGTTAACTTTCACAGTTGTGTTTTTCCACCTGTTTTCTCCTTTCTGTCACACGGTCACTTATATGCACTTCTCGAGCAGCTGTGAAGCTGTGCAGGCACCAGAGGGATAAAACGGAGGACAAGTTTGGGAGAAGCTCAGCAGGCAGAAAAAAAAAAAAAAGAAAAACATATCCACTTAAAGGTTTACTTAGTGCAGACTTAGCGCAGAAGGTCTGCATTTCAGAGTAGAAGTTAATGGAGTTATAAGGGGTTTTAGGAGTCAAGAACATGGCCTCCAGCATCCATTTCCTATCCCTAAGTCACATGCGGTTATGAGCTGGAAGTTCTGCATCTTAATTCACTATTTCTGATCCCTGCTTTGTAGTAGCTATCATATTTTGGAGTAGTCCATTCTGGTTTGGTTAGAGAAGGAGGTCTCCTGATTAGTTGCTGTAATTGCTGTGTAAAGCCTGCCCAGAAATAGTCTATGGTGCAGTGGCCTATTCATGTGGCTGGAATTCATGTGATGTGGGGGTCTTCTGCCTTTGCTAGGACATATTTTGCCATCTCGTGCAAAAAGGTCCATTTTTGCTTGTATCTACATGTGCTGAGCCATGCACCAGCAAAGTACTTCATTCCTGTGATGGGTTTCTATGATAGGCACAAGGTGTTAATTTGTCTCATGGCTGAGCTAATATTCAGGTGTAGAGTGGGCCAGATCCTGCTGTAAGATAGAGTCTCTGCAGCCTCACCCTTACAACTGGTCTGGTGTAAATTGAGGCACTATTCTCCCAGTACAGGAAACGGGTGACATGGTGAAGTCTGCTCTGGAGTCTACCAGTTGGCGGATGCAGTAATAAAGTTATAACAATTTTCTGTGTCTAACTGGAGGTTCAGAGGTCCCAAGCTACATTTAAACAGCATTTGAACAAACAGTTCTGAGCCAAGTTGATTTCTGGTGCAACTCTAATAAGGCTGGAATAACTACACCTGGGATGATTTTTCTCTCACACAATATGTCAGTGGTCAATCTCTCAATATGCCTGGCTATAAGCATCTTTAAAAAGATGTTCTCTTTATAGTACTAAATTCTGATCTGCCAAATGTGGCAGCCAATGAGCTCTTCCAAACTAAATACCGTGAGGATTATGCTTAAATACCAAAGTATCCTCATTGGCCTCTTGGTGAAAATTAATTGATCCATCACAGACAATATCTATTTGTTGAAGTTTTTATTCTGCATTTTTAACTTCTGTAAGTAGTATACGTGATTTCATTGGCTGGCTATTTTAAACCATAGGGGACCATTGGTGGAACAGTACAAATCGCTCTGAAATCCAAAATTGCCAGCTGCAATTATAGTCTGCATGTAGCATCTTCTCTAAGGACTATAAATGCTTCACTGCTTTAATTTTGCTTGGCATTTGCATCACTGTGTGACAATTACTGAGCAGTGGCAAAGGATGGATTCAGTAATGAAGCCTGGACAGTAGAGAAATACTGTCCAAACTGAAATATTCTCTCTATTTCAATCTAATATTCATCAGTCTGAGCACATGGATACATCACATTTAGATACAAAGCACTGGTAAGATAGGTACCTTCCCTTTTGCTGCTGAATTGTCTGGCTTTTTTCATAGCAGAGATGAGGAAAGTTGTTTTCTCCTCATATTTCTTGATTGTTTTTAACTACTCAAAAGGATGACATACTAAGTTGTAAATACTATTAATTAAAAGGTCAGACTGGCAACTATATTATTCCGGACAAAGCTTGGGAAATTTTTACCAATTTCAGTGATGCTACACTGGTAGAAAATAGGAATGAAACAGCAGTGGCTCAGCTACTTTTTGAGCCTCTATATACAGAGTTTTAATTATTTGAACTATTTGTGACTGCCCCTAAATCCCAGATATATTAGAAGACAAGATTAGAATTATACCTCAGACTGAAAGAGCAGATGCAATTGGGGAAACAAAACAATGACATTGTGAGAATACAGGGCTTACACAAGGAAGGGTTCTGGGTATTGCCAAAATTAGTTTCCCTTGTTAAAAAGAGATATGCTGAAGAAACATTCTTTAATGGGGAAAAAGCAGGTTTTGGAGACGTGAGATATAAAACATTTAAAATAAAAACCACCTGGGGCTCAGTGAGCTGTGCAGAGCCAATGTCTGCAAATGACACTATTTACCTTCATCAGACAGAGCTGTAAAACTTCTGAGAGACCTAAGTAATTTAGCCAAATAGGCAACACAGTGGAAATGCTGCTCAATGTCATTGCAAGGTCAAGCAGTGCACAGTAAGATGCGCTAAGAGACAAAAATTTCAACTCTTCACATGCTTCAGAAGGGTTCAAAATTAATAATCTAAGCACTGGAACCTTGTTATCGTGTGCTGCTCTTTGGGACCCAGAGCTCCATGTGCAGCTGCAGTCTAACAAGTATTAGGCTGAATAAATACTGGACTGAAAAATCACAGTACCAGCAACAGTGCAGTGTCATCTTGCATATTTTGGGGATCACTGCTGAGGCCCTTCAACAAGAATACTGAAGAATTAGACAGGTCTTGGAGTAGGCTAAGCATGATCCAGCACAAATAATTTCAAAGACAGACTGGAAAGATAATTTGTTTATTCCAAAGAGGCGGTAAATGAGGCTATGAAATAAAAAAAAAAGCAGATAAAATGTTGAAAGAGGTATTTAGCATGAGCTCCTATTCTTCCTGTAGCAGTGTTCCCCTCCTATCCCCCCCCATTCCTCAAAAAAACCCCAAAAACCAAAAAAAACAAACAAAAAAACCCCACCCACAAAACCCACAACTGCCTGGTCTTCTCACTGTGATTTTCTCAGAGTCAGGCTGGAAGGCAACTAACAGCATTCACCAGCTTTGCATACCACCAAGTCGATAACAGTATTAAATTGATTACAGAAATCATGGCTGGAACGTAGGAGGTTCTTAGACACTTCTACTGACATCGGTTTACTAATTCTTGACAGAAATCTTCCACATTAATGGCCTCCTCTCTACACCCCATGAAATATAGAAAACCAGAACAGCTGGTGAGTAATGAAGAAGAAAGTCTAGACAGGGCAAATCTGTCCAACCTGATGCAAGAAAAGGAGGTACTGAAAGATGCAAACATTTTGGATCAGGAAAAGATTCAGCTACTCATGGGAGATGCAGTCAGAACAGAGTTATACCTCTGCCCTTTGGCCAAACTAACATCCCATCAAATGGCACCTGCACCTACGGTACAAAATGTTATCAAAACTGAACATTTCCCAAAGGTGTGTCAAAAGCAACCAAATCCACACAGTTCATGCTGATACTTAACACAACCAAAGACCCCATAGGATATACCAGGAAAATGAAACGAGGTGTTGTATGGGAAGTTATATTGGAGCAGAAATAACATCTGGAGTATTTTTCTTCCCCCACGGCTTTTCCTCTTGAACATTGTGAACAGATTTCAAATGTTTACAGACTAAGGATGAAAACTGCATCCCACCACATATTTCCAAAAGCCAGAGTCAGAAAAATGTTCATTCGTCTCCTACCTTGTTAACTTTGTCCCAATCTGCTGCCTAAGTTCAAGCCTCTCTTCATCAGTCTGCATGGGGAGGATGTTCTTTTCCTCCAGTTCTCGCTTAGAAGGCCTGTTGCTTAGTTTGATTGCTAAAGAGTCCTTCCGGCAGACTTTCATTGCCAGGGAGCCTGTGGGAGAGAAGAGAGGCTCTGCCAAAGGAGGTGTCATCACTTCATTACAGCGTACAGCAGGCAAAGTAGTACCAGCCAAGGGAGGATACTAGGCTCTCATTTACATTGGTATGGACTGTGGGAAAAGGGCATCAATTAACTTCACGTGCTCAATTAATCTCAATTCATATCATAATAAGGAAGAGTTTAATTCAGTAGGTATACAGGAAAAAGAAATTAAAATATTGTTCTATAGAGGGGAGCAGAGAAGGGCTTATTTCAGAATTGCTAGTAGCATCTAGCTTTCTCTAGCACTGTGTTTCTTAACCACATAATGGAATGAATAATTCTGAATAATTCAGAATCTGGGCAGGCAGCAGAGCTACATCATGTGGAAAGAGACAGGTATCTCTCTCTCTTGCAATGCAATACCAAGACATCCAAGATAGCACTAGAAGGAATCAAAAGTCAACCAGAAGCAGCACAGATCACTGTGTACATTAACTGAGGCTGCTTCTCAGGCAGTGACAGTGGCAAAGACACTGTGAAAACCAGTGGCCTTTCACACCTCAAGCTTGCTTTCCTATGCTTGCATCCAAAACAGTTTGAGCAGGGAAGACAGACACAAGCAGACAGAGAGACACAAACCCATGAGAGATTTTGGGCTTTGGCAGGAGAGTGTAAGATAGTGCAGGTCTGCTCTGTTTCTTAGTTTAAGAAGAAAGACTACTTAATTTCACTTGCAGAGTAAGGGAGGATTCTGAGGAGATTAAATATGCCTGTTTTAGAATCTTCCTTGTGTGTGTTTTAAAAAGGGTGATGTTTGATTGCACTGCTCCCAGTTTCAGAAGAAAAGAAACCCAAGGGCCTGGAACTTCAGCTCAACCTGCAGGATGACAAGCAGTTGTCATACAAAAAGTACTGTATCCTGTCTTCATGGGAGAGTCCTATGATGCCACACTGAGGCAGGAGATGGGTTTTCTCAGAGAGGTCAGGAAGGGGCCACAGGTGCCTCTTCAGACTGTAACTGCAATATAGCTATCAATTAACCTCTTCTCTTCTTATCTGAGCCCAATTCTTTGACCATGACCCCTTTCAAAGTATGGGCAGACTTACAATTCTGACATGATTTAATACTTACTATATATAAACACTCTGATTCTCTATTGGTGGCACTTACTTTATCCTCCTGAAGTAACTCTATTGAGCTGATCTTGACTTAAGCCAAAGGCAGGGATTCTCTAAATCATGGACACTTGGGAAAGTGAATCCAAAAGTCAATTTGGAAGTGAAATAATATAAACCAAAACCAGTCATCTGAATTCTGTCTGAGAACTACCCAGACAGGGATTCACATGTATTAGGGATATCACTATAAATTCATGCTACTTGCAATTTTGGATTAATTTACCAAGCATCCCTATGCAGTCAAGCCCTGAGAGATGCAAAAGCCATGGTCAAGAAAGAAAACTTATAGGCCTTGTTTTTTCCCTTGTGTATTGAGAATTCAGAGTAAAAACTAAATAAATGAGAAGGAAAAATTAAATGAATCTTACTTGTAAATAATGAGTTATCCTCATCTTCATCTTCCTCTTCCTCCTCTTCCTGTCTTGTGTAGAGGCAGGAAGAATCTTCATAGTCGGTTTCATGAGGCACATTTTCTTTATTGTCATCGCATTCGATCACAACAGTTGGCACTTGTCTCATGTCTGGAAGGCCCCCGGGTACTGTTTTTGTAACACTGTCACCTGTGTGTAAACCAGAGCTGTTGGGAAAGAAAACCAAATAATTAAACTCAAGGAAATAGCTCAGTGGAAGACTGAGTTGCTTTCACCATATTTAGGAGAGCAGTGGCCTTTCACCCCTTTTTAAGAAGAAAGGAGGACAGAAAGATCTTCAGGAGTGGCAAGACACCTAATGGATTTAAACTGAGTACACATTAGATTTAAGGTACAACACTTGTTAGGGAGAGGTAGGACAGCATGCAGGCAAAAATACTGGCAGCCAGAACTGAGAACTAAAGATCTGTGGCAAATAAGTCTCAAGGCTTAGTGAGAATTGCACCAGCTACTCAAGAGTTTGATAAGCATGTCTTCAGCCTTGTGGCTGGGTGACCTCTCCACTGTTGGGCAGACAGTAAGGAGAAAATGTCTCATCTGAATGCAAAAGATGGAGTAATAGTGTAAGGAAGGAAAGATACAGATTGTGGAGGAGGATTGTAGAAAGGCAGAGGGAAACCATGACTTGCACTCCTTGGGCAAGATGATGTTGACTGACTTGAGGGGAAGGCAAGGGCACAACTCTCTGAAGCGCAGGTGATCACATGTGAAATCGGGCTTGAAGCAAAGAGATTTTGGGAGCTGGTGAGAGTAACAAGGGAGGGAGCTAAAACCTGGGAGTTTTGTTTGCCAGTGGCACAGTTAGATTTTGTGGGGGCTGCAGTGATGATATACCTTCTCCTGCCCTGGTTTCTCACTCCAGCCAGGTGCTGGAGATCAATCTGAATTGGAGCTAACATCCTATTTCTTTCTTCACATGAAAGTGTGATTGATCATTTCCTGCAGCTTACTAGGTTAAGACCTGTGGTCAGTACCGCTACCACCTAGCTCTGTTTATGTGTTGATTTCAAAGCCCTTTACTGAGGAACATACCAATACAAGCAGGGAAACAGGAACACGAGGAGGTGAAGATCAAAGTCAAACAAAAGGTGAAAGGTCACAAACAGAACCAGGTTTACTAATCCATTTTTATCTAATAGCTTATGTTGCTCTTTCAGTGTGAAATGAGAATGAGAGACTGCTCAGGTTTATTTGTGAGTCAGCAGAAACTGCCCTCTCTCAAGTCCCAGCTGAGGCAACAGTTATATGAAAGATGGGTTACCTATTGGACACCCTCTTTATGTCAAACTCCCACCTTACTTTCTAGAAGAACACAGCTGTGAAACCAGATGTGCTGGCCAAGTTGCACTTGAGGCCTACAAATTTGGGTCTGACCTTACCAAGTGCTGAGTAGCCTCAATTCCCTTGAATAGTTCAGCCTGCTCAGAATACCAGAGGCATTCTGCATCTTGAAAAAATGTTGTTTCCTTCTCTTTAAATGATCTTCTACTGAGTCAACTTGAAACACTTCTTTTTCTTCCGGCCCTAAAGTTAACATGGACTTTTAAATGGCTGTCAGATAACATCCCAGAAAGACTTTAAAAAATGTACTTCTTGGGTATATAATGTTAGTGCACAATGTGCTTAGGGATTAAGGAGAAGAAAAGGCTTCAGATCCTGAGAACAAACCATAGCATGCTGTTATTATCATCCTCTGCTTCAAAGCTTCAAAAAACTTTTGTCAATTGCAACTTTTACTATTGCAGACTAACCAACGAGATGCGTTGCTTTACTGGATGCCTTGAAGAGGAACTCCATTTTCTTAGTGATAGTCCATGTTTTGCACCACAAAGTAAGAGAGATTCATGAAGAAACAGCTTGTGAATTTTTGTATTAGACTTCTATGAGATTGACCCAAAAAATTTTATCCCAGAAGTAGCTTTAAAATTCATCACCTGATGACACATAAATGCACAACAGTCTTTAAAAAATTTCAACTACTTTTTTATTATTGATATGCTTTAATAATTTTAATGTCCCTCTTTATGAACTTCATTTTAAAAATCTGTTTTCTTTGTACTATTTTCTGTGTAACTCTTTTTAAGAGGAAAGGTAGGGAATTCAAAAGCCTGGAATTAAATTTCCAAGGGAAACTAAAATGTTGTGAAATTCTGTTAACATTAAAAAAAAAAAGAAACAAACTTCCAGTGGTGAACACAACCATTGGATCATTCAGTTAATTTTAAAACAGTACGTACACAGAGAGTAAGTCCATTCTGGAAGTACAAATGAAAGGAGTAAAAAGTAGTTCAGCATCCAGGACCATTTGGTGTTTCCCTGTTCTGTGAAAGATGCATGCAGGTTACAGATGCATCCTTATGGGTGTGCACACATGGTAGCAGATACCAAAGTTCACCAATTTTTGTTACCAAGCAGGTATTGGATGGCAACAAGACTTACAAATTATCACAGAGGATCTTTATTTGAACTAGAGATCTAGAAACAGGCAGCTTCTCATCTCATTGTAATTTTTCTGAATCATCCACTTTCTTGATAATACTACTTTCTATTTTGAGCCCCTCATTTTTCCTGGTGTTTTGTGTTCTTCTTGATTAAAATCAGCCTTTTCCACAGCATTTTGACTAAGTCAGCTGTCTAAGCAAAGCACTTATAAAACACATGCAGTACTGCAGTATACTTAAGAAAGACAAATCAAGGTCATTAGATATTTCCACTGTGTATAAATTCCTCCGGGTCATTAGCAAAAACACCACTAAATTTTTTAGCATTATCTACCAAAAAGCACACTATTGTTTTAAACGTTTTAAATCAGCTTTGTGTTTTGTAACAAAATTAGAAAACAAAGCCACAGCTAAGCAATTACTTGTTTTAAGAAGATAAGTGTATCTTAACACATAGATTTGAATAATTCATAGCTGACTAGTACAAGCACTTGCAATTACTGTTGCATCATCTTTATGTGATCAAAACAGCAAAAAGTTACACCACCATTATAGCTTACAATGTTTCTAGTGAGAAAATATTTTAATGAAAAAATCAGAATTTAAACATATGAGTGACTCATGGTACAGACAAAATTGAAAAAGAAAAAAGTTAAATCCCTGCTGTAAAATCTAGTGGGGAAAAAACTCCACACGTTTCTCATCCGTCATCCCAGGCTCTTTGATTTTGGAATAGAGAGTTACATTTTTATCAGCGTGTTTTCAGATCTACAGTACACTCTTCTGTACTTAGCAGTTAAAACAAAAATCCAAAAGAACTTCAAACCATTGTATATACATTTCTACAATAGAGGCATATGTGTGAGAGACAGAGAGAGAAGGCAGGGATATAAATATTAAGTGTTTCTATCCTTAGGCAATGCTAAGGTTTAGATAAAAAGCAATTCTCTTGACAAGTTTTATGGAAGATAAATGTTTTCTGACTCAAATATGTTTTATAAGATTTACAAGACACTGGCAGGAATGTCTAATTCATTTAATTTCATAAATCTACAGTTTAAAGCTGAACTGGGTGTCCCAGAGGAACTGGTCTCACATGCTGTCTTTTTGGACAGAGTGATTTTTCATTGCCACAGAGCAATTCGAGCCTGGAGTGAGATATTGCCACGCAACAGCTCTTTAGTACGTAAGTTGAACAAACTGAGGCCTTGACTCAGCGGCTAATGTACAAGAGCCCACAGAGCAATTGAAATTGTCATCTTACCAGACAGACAGAACTATATGGGCAAGGCAGAATATAAGTCTATTTCAGATCAAGAAGCTGCCACCCTAACTCAAAATTAAAGATACATTCCAGTGGCACAAGAAGGTTTCTAAAGCTTCTTTCGTGCTGTTCACGACACATGGCTTTTGGTCACGGTCTTTCCTCTCAAACTCATTTCAGTCATGAGGATGAAACCTTGTGTGGATTTTGGTCACAGGGTTTATCAGATTTTCACCAACTCTTAAAATGAATACTGAAATGCTGAAAATGATGCCTGAATCTAGAGTTTTACTTATGCCTGACACACACTCTTTGCACTGAAAGGGAAAGTTGTTTGCAGTAGGGCACAAATTGGCAGCAGAGGTTGTAGAAAAAAGGTTATGTGGAAATTACACTTTTCTCTGTTTCAACTTGATCTATCATAAAGCTGCTAATTTATCAGGAAAAATAGAGGCAAACTAGCAGCACAAATGACAGGTCATAATAGTTATACTATGACAAGGGACAGATTGCTCTTTTGAGAATAGGTTATGAATAGATGTTATGAGTACCAGAAAATGTTTGTGATCAAAAGCCTTAAGTGTGAAAATTAACTTAATGTTCTGTAACATCTGTAATAAAACTGAATAAAAAAATCCAGGAATTAACTGTCATTACAAGGCATAAGAACAACTGGGACTTGAATAGCTATTACGCACTTTTAGCGTACCTTAAGACATTAACATTAATATGCACTAGATCTAGGTGAGACAGTAACATGCAACCACTCCTGCAGAAGGGAAAATAGAGGTAGAGAAGCTCAAGGTCAATGACAGCAAAAGAACTTCTGGCTTCCAGGCCTGTACAGAGGGACAGCTCATTTGTCTCTGGCAAGCTTCTGGCTCTTTGGCAAAGCTCTGATTTCAAGTATCAGCCTTCATGTGTTAGACTACCTGAATTCCAGAGACCTCATCTGTGAAAGCAAAAAATTCAGATTGCTAGAAGAAGGGGATATTTTAGTCTTTCATTCTTTGTTCCTGTCCACACTCACAGTCCTGGTGGAGAAGAGTTGTGAGGTCTAAGAAAAGTTTACTGGGCAAAATGTGGAACTGATACAAACTCTTATGGATTCAGTGACTATCAATGGAGTTTAACAGTCTTGAGGAGCTTCCACTGCACCAGGACCAAAGAAACTAGACACAGAGAAGAAAAAAAAAATATCCTGAAGGGAAAAAAAGAAAAAAAATAGAGCAGAAAACTGATCTGTGCTTGTTTACATGATCCTCCCTTATTAAAAACAAAATGCTATTCTAAATAATCCCCAAATTACCAGACTTAGCAGCATTATTACTGCAGCATCATGGCAAATATTTTATAAAGTTGTAGGATTCTTTTGAGATAAAGGCTGAGATCGGCAAAACTAAATGCTGCCAATGAACTCCGCATTCCCCAGAAGGTGCCTCAGAGAGTAGTCAGGCTCTCTATCTCCTCAATTTTACTGACCCAACTGCAGCGACCCAGTACATTGTTACCTTGGAAAAATGAGTAAAGCTCAGGACGTCACTTCATATCCTATGTGTGCAACAGATGTGAGCACATTACCAAATTTTAAATAGAGGAAAGCAGATCTAGTATCTTTGCAGTTTTAGCAGGCCCTCAAGACTTGTGGGCTGAAGTCTCCAGTGACAAATACTGTGGTATGATTCCGTTTGGTTTAATTTAGATTTTATACAATTATAGGGAAAAAAAAACTATTGCCAAAAATACTAGAACAGCATTTGGTGCGAACAATCCTCTCGTAATTTAAATACATGTATTTTAAAAATCTGCACAAATCTTCAAGAAAAATTAGCAAATTTACTAAGATCACAATGTGGCTTGAAAAAGCAATTCAAGAATTTAACAGCAACTGTCAGCTCCACAGACCTATAAATACTTTGAAATACTTTTATCTTCAGGTACTATGGAATTATCAATCGCTGCTGCAGAGGAAACCTATTTTGTCTCTTGTGAATGCAAAAGTTATCTATTTGTTTTGACATGGAAAATAACTGAAGTACTCAATACTTTATTTCATGATTGAAATAATAGTTAATCAGTGCAAAAAGGCATGAAAAATCAACCATCTGCAATAACATGAACTAGGATTCATTTTCATTTAAAATGTGAAATATTAGTGCCACAGCCTTTTCTTATTTTCTTCTGCAAAGGGAGGTGATTGTTTCATCTTGGGAAATGAAACCTTGCTTATTCAGTTTTTAACAAACAGCAGAGCTTCAGCTTAAAATTTATAGTTAAAACCAAACAGCATCACCTTCTTTAAATCAGGTAAACGTATTTGTAGACACAAACCCAACGGATGCCTAGAAATTGGAGCATTCATTGCTGTGGGGCAACAGATGCCACAATGAAGTCATACTCTGAGAGAGGTCATTGGACTCAGGATAACGAAGTGCCTTTCTGCACGCAGCGTGAGCCAGATAGTAAGACATCTGACCTATGCTGGGGACGGTGTGGGCAGTGCAGCCCCAGAGGAGCCTTTGGGAGACACCAGCTACCCTCTGCTCTTGGTCTACACCAAGCTTCGGGGTGATGCAAGTGCATCTGACCAGCTCTGCTGGCAAGCTGAGGTAAGTGAGCAGTCACCGGGGAACAGGGGGGACTGTGGATGCTCTGTCCAATCCTACTGCTACAGTGCTTTTCCTGATGGGAGTAGGAATCCCCTCATAGCCCTAGCAGTTTTTCCTCATCAGAGAACTCCCCCATGCCGCAGAAACGTTAGCCCGCCTGCGATGTAACCACTCAAGTATCTCTATCTTGGTACTAAAATAAGGTGGCAGTGTGGGACAGCCTCTGGTCCCCTGATTGTTTTTCATGCAGTAAGGAGAATCTGCCATATCTAATCAAATTATTTTCAGCTATGCAATATAATGAAAGTAACATTATCACAAATAGCTACTGGGGCAAATCATCAGGCATTTTGACTATTAAACCAAATATTTTAGCTTCTGTCTAACAGAAGGATGATCTGATGCTCCTAGAACAAGCTAGGTACAAAGCTGCCCTTGGTACTAAATAGAACATGTCATTTTTTGGACTACCTTCCCTATTTTGGGGCTTGCTCAATTTTCCTCTACAAGACAAAATACATTTTCCAAAGCTTGCTGTCTTGCAGTCTATGAGGACAGCTTGCATTTATACAACATGCTTAACTTACTCAGACTATTTTGAGCAGCATTCAGAGATATTCACAAATGACAGTAATAAAAAACAGCCTGAAGGTGGGTAAGGCACTTCTGATCAAAGGTACTACCTTCCTCCAGATGCAAACGGCTAAGAATGTAGCTGATGTGGAATAGGTTAAATAATTATTTTACGATCAAACATATAATTTAATTGAAATAATCTAAATAGTGTATTAAAACCTCTCTGAGTGACTTGTAGGAAGTCCTTATAGATTGTTTCAAGCTAACTGGTAATACTAATCAGATGCCCTGGTTGAGTGGCACATTTGGTTTTTATTGCTCTTATACTTCTTTTCCTTGTTTTTAGCAATCCTCCACATAATTGGAACTCTGGAGTTATGCACTCTGCAGTACATATTGCAAGCCAGGCATGTCTTATTAAAATCTTCTCCACTGGCTGTATTATCTACTTCCTTGAACAGGACAATGGGGTTCAGGAAATTTGGTCTTTTTCTCCTTTCTTCCATAAACTTGTCAAACAAGCCTGGAAAGGTTCTTTCCCTGTCTCTGTTTCTCCATCAGTGACTCTGCCTTGAAGATGTCAGACCCCAGAGGAGGGGCCTCATTTAAGCATTATCAACACAACTCAAGTGGCAATATAGATAAGATACTGAGGTTAGCAGGAAACAGTGCACATCAATATGCAATTTTAAAAGTTGATCCATTACCTTTCTAGCCTTTGCATGGTCATGGCTAGCGTTTTGTTCAGTTCCTCTATCATCCGACACCCTGAAGGGTGAATGGGCAATGTGTTGGACCCAGAAGGCAGGTGCTGGCTGTGGCTGCCGTACTGGAGCTGGTGCTGGTGAGCCGCTAACTGGGATGGCAGGACAGTGTGATGGTGCTGGGTCAAAGGCTGCTGGGAGCTCTTCTGCGTGGAGTAAGATGAAAGGGAGAGGTCTGGCCCCCCTAAAGGCATGCAAATCATGACTTTCTTTGGAGGTAGTGGAGGTGACAGTTTAACTGGCATACAAGGCAGTTTCACAGGAGCGCCAGGATCTAAAATAGAAGAAAGAGAGGCCCTGGTGTTAATTTTCATGTCAGTAAGATGAAGATCAGAGTATCTGCCTGGGCAAGTAAGTATTGAGGTTGCTAGTCAACACAGGAGTGTGCACCCCTTCCCTGCCGCGACAGACAACTCTGCACAGCATGTGCTCAGCACAGTCTTCAGAAAGTATACTGTTGTTTTGCAGCACTTCTGAGTCTCACAAAAACACATCCCAGGGCTGTGCGTGCCCCTTAATAAACACGTTAAGCAATGCTTAACAAGGCTCATGGCACACTTTGATGCTCTAAAGCCCTAGCCCTCCAAAACAGCCTTATGAGGTAAGTGCAATGTCTCCTGCTCAACAGGCACGCAAATAGAGGGAGAGCAATTCCGTGTCTGAAGTTACAGGATGACTCACCACCATCACTGCTGGAGCAAAAGCTCAGGGACTCCTGATCCTTCCCTGCCATTGCACAGCACAATTACAAGTCACATTTTTTACAGCTTTGTAATGTGCAAAACATCTGGTGTTAAAAATTACATTACAAGGCAAGAGAGAAAAGAAATACGGCTTGAATACTAAACAGGAGTGGTCTGGAAAAAATAACTAAACAGGAGTGGTCTGGAAAAAAGAAAGGTACAGGAGGAGAAAATGATAAAGGACAGAAGATTGTTAGGATTAATGTATTCTTTTACAGAAGACTTGGCAGGCACTTTTCTCTGGACTCATGCACTGAATTAACCTTTTTAACTCTAGGCATGTTCCTTGAAACACACAATTGACCTGCCAGGTAAAGATTCCCCTGACTTCCATGGGAAATCAATGAAAGGTCCACAAGCAAATTTCTCTGCCGGAACTCAACTGTAGGATGGAGATTTTTGGAGTTGCACTCTGAAATGTTTTCAGAAGGGAAATGAAGTTAATGGTAGGGCTTGTAGTTCCCAAGATAGGTGTGGGAAATGGCCAGCATGTATGTTAAGAGCAAAACCGAAAGCAAATATATATGCTGTGAGCTGCAACTGTGAGTTTCTGCTTCAGAGGAAGGCCAGGCCTTTCTAGCCTGGAATACCACAGACATTTGGTTCTGCAATGCAGCTCTGCAGGCAAGGCTTGCATGCTTTTTGGTCTCTTGTTGCTTCAGTTCACTCCTCTTGCTCTAACATGATAAAGGAACGGAAGGGCTAGAATCTTCTTTTGACCTGTGAAAGCTTGAGAGTAAGATGTTACCCTTCAGGTTACAGAGGTGATCATCCTCCTGAGTGATACGAGATTTCTAAAGTCCTTTTCCAGATGGCTCTTTTTAGCATTAGCTGTCCTCCTCCTTGCCCCTTTTAATCCCTCCTCCCTCCTGGCCTATTCTGGGCAATGCCTGTATTAATATCCGTATCTACTAGACAGAGTGCACCAGGCTGATACTTCGAGTTTCAAGCACTAACAGTTCTTGAAAATGATTAAGGACAGTAATGTGGAAAAAGCCAGGTTCAGATATGACATAAGAATTTTTTTTAGCGCTAATTGTAGCTTCATTGCATCCACAGTATCCACTTGACATTAGTGCTTTTACTATGCTAGGAACAACACACTGACAGTCTTCCTTTTCTTCAAAGGGCTTATAGGCTGAAGACATAGGAGAGCAAAGGATATGCAAAGACGAAACGGAGACATGAAGAGAAAATGGTCTTTCCATGCTGCAGTGGGAGAGTTACTGGGAATAGAACTCAAGTCTTTTGGCCTTCAATGCAATATTGTATCCACTTGACATGTCTCTTGAAGGCAAAAATTCTTCTGATGGCTCCACCAAGGGTGAAATCTAACTCATGGGATTGCCAAACCAGAGGGACCTGCCCTCTCCTCTAAAGCAGACTGCCTTCTGCACAGTAAAAGAAAAATACTTCTGGGTTTTTCTATTAAGCACAGGAAGGTCTCCAAGTTATGGTGGTTTTCTTACATACTTAGATATCTGTGTATATTTCCTCTTTGTATCCTGCATAAAAGAGCACATCATCTTCAATAAAAGGTAAATAACAGAAAGAGTAAATAGTAAATTGTATAGAGCCCTGAGAATGAGGCTCCTATGGGATTTGTAGTAACAAAGTGTTTTCATACATTTGTGCTCCAGGCAATTTCAGTTCTAGAGCTGGTCCTGAATTACAAAAACTATACTGAGATGTGCACTTCCATTTTTTAAAAGTACAGGTTTGACTGTTGGTTTTAGATCTTTTCTGCTGTATATCAATTAACATCTTCATTTGACAGTGCCTGTGCCCGTATGCCCCACCACTCTGATGCAGGGGAGTAATCCTTAATGGTGAATTCAAAGAGATCCCAACTGCACGCATCTCTTGCTTCTGACAAAAGAATAAATGGAAGTATCAGCTGGGTTTGTTACCATCTGTGGTCCTGAAGATTAGAGCAATACTGTATGTTGAGAGTGAGTACAACATACCAAATGCTTCAGGCATAAAGCAAACAGGAATCTTTCCACCTTACTTCTAAAATATAGTGAAAAATTATTTTCCTTTCTCATGTAAGCATTCATCTAGTAGAATTGTGACAGAGGCACTACAGCTTTGAAGTTACACAGAAGAAGAAGTCTAGCTTAATTACCTCGAGTAACCACACACTTCGTCATAAATCAGATGTGTGTACTCTGGTTTCCACTCTTTACCACAAAGGTATGGACCTTTAGTTTCCACTTAATTGTAAAGAAATCCTTCACATCAACATGTTTTCAGTGGTATCAGTGCTGGGTGACTTCACTGGACACCTGCCAAAAATTTTGTCCATTATTTTTAACTTAAGGCTTTATTCAGACCGACTGCATTTCACCCAGGTTCTTGAACCTGTCTGAATATGGCCCTAATACCTAAATACAGCCTTGAAAGTGAACCAGAGGCATTAAATCTGTCTGCCATTCACCTTCAGAAGAACTCTACTTGCCTGTTTAAAAAAAAAAAAGGCTAACAGGAGAATGATTTCAATGGGAGGACAGTTCGATCCATTTGCTCAGAAATGTATCAGTTTATCTTCACTGACATCAGTAATGGAGACCTTGTACTGCAAGTTTTACTACATGGTCAGATCAAGGAGTGTGCTGAAAGAACGGGGCCTTGCTCAAATTCACAGGCTCCAGGCATGCTCTTGGAAACTGCACTACCATCATCTAGAGTAAACGAGAGAACAACTTGTCCCTGCGTGTAAGATAATAGTGTTATAGAGTTCTTTTCCCTACTTGTTTTAATTTCACTATGTATGTGGTGTATGAACCAGGCATGGAAACAATTATTGTCTCCAGCATGAAATAACCATCCGACATGGACATCTGTAGATGAATAAGAAGCTAGACAGTGGAAATATGAATGAGGAACCTGTGGTAAGTGTCTTCTCAGTTGAACATTACCAGAGTCTTAAATCACTGCACAAAGCACTCATGTGACAGAAGAGAAGCAAACTGTGTGAAACCAGGTGTGCAAGTCTGATTAATCTCTTCCAGCTGAGGTTCTTCATGCTCAAGAGAATAATAAGCAATTTTGCAAGATGTTCATTCCCAGCAGGGTTGTGACCACTCTGTACTGTGTATGGTTAAGTAATAACTGTGCCAGAAGTAAAAAAAGAGATGTTAGTCACAGAAACCTTCCTACTGCTGATGACAATGAATTACTTAAAAGACAGTTGTAGATGCCACAATATTTGCTGCACATCAGAGCCATGACAAACAGGTCAGCCCTTACCCCTTCCATATGGATAATTTTGCTAATACCTGTAGTTGCTGCATTTCTTCTTGGGTTTTTCAGGAGATAGATAAATATACGTTGTATCTGCTGCACAGAAGGTCTACCCATGTATGGTTCTTCTGATGTATTTGTGGCACACTGAGCTGTACACTAACTACACCAAATCTGATGCTTCCCAGCCACCGAACATGGCTGGAGAGCTGCTCAGCACATGATGCAGATACACCTGTTGCAAATAGAGTGCTAGGAACTTCTGGATGTATGGCAGCAAATACTGCTCTATCAGGGCTCCTAGAAAAGCTCATTAAAATCCTCAAATCCTTGCCCAGTACAACTACTGCAAGAATTAAGAGGGGATGCCTAGGAATCCTGGGTCTGTGGCAGAGCCGGCTGTGTTTGCTATCCTGCCAGTGGCACAAATGCTCTTTCTTGACTCCTTGTGATGCCCAACAAAGAGCCAGCACTGTACCCCAACAGCAAGGAAAGCCAACAGCCTCCTGGGTTGTATGAGTAGAAGTACAGCCAGGAGATCAAAGGATTATTCCCCTTCTACTCAGTACTTCTTAGACTGTATCTAGATTACTGTGCCAAGCTTAGGATCCTCCAGGAAAGACATCCAAAAACCAGAATGATTTGAGCAGAGGGCCACCACAATGGTTGAGGGCTGGAGCATCCGGCCTGTGAGAAGTTGAGGGACTGGGGCTTGTTCAGCTTGGAGAAAAGATAGCTAGTGGGGGGAACACCTAACAGCAGCCTGCCAGTACCTATGACGTTATCAATAATGTGGAGCCAAGCTCTTCACAGTGGTGCATGGTAGAAGAATGAGATACAGTGGGCAAGAACTGAAACAAAAGAGGTTCAAAACTGGATTATAAGGAAAATGTTTTCCCCCACAAGAAGAGCCAGACAGTGGGACAGGTTTTCCCAGACAGGTTGTACAGCTGGTATCCTTTCAGGTGTCCAAGACCCAGCTGGACAAAGCACTAAGAACCCTGGCCTGATCCCACAGCTGGCCTGCTTTGAGCAGGAGGTTGGACGACTGGAGACTTGTCAAGCTTCCTTCCCACCTGAATGACCTTATACAGTGACCCATGCTGTACTATATACAACTAAAAGTAATACAACTCGTCATAAAGTTAACAAGTTACTCTTTACATTCTATCCAAGTAATAATTCTGTAATGGGCCAAAAAAAAAAAAAAAAAAAAGTGCAAAACCCGGTGTGGCCTGTTGAGGGAGCTCCATAGTGGAAATGTGGTGATGTGCCTTATATTTGC